AACTAGAAGCTCTACCCTCAATATTTTGAAAACTCAAGTGTTGGGAAAATATCTTGGCTTTCCCATCATGCACAATAAGCTTTCGAAGTAAGATTCCGGGATGGAAGTTGAATATGCTTCCTAAGCAAGAAGAGTTACCTTGGTCTTTCCTATTCTTTTAGCCATTCCTAGTTACTACATGCAAGGAACTTACCTCCTTGAAGCCCCCCATTGGGAATTGGATAATTTTTGAGGCAATTCACTTGGGGGTGCACAATGGATAAGAAAAAGGCTAATGTTGTTTCTTTGGACAAGAATATTTAACCAAAAAGATAGGGGGTCTAGGTTTGAAATCTTCCAAAGAAGCCAACCAAGCTTCCGTGACTAAAGCTCATTAAAGGCTTCTCATGGAGGAAGACAAACTTTGGGCCAAAGCTCTCTGTGAAAAGTATTCTATTATAGACCTTAAGAGCAATCTAGGTAAGCCTTTTCTTGTTGGTAAGAATATTGCAAAGGGTGAGCACATTTTTAAGAAAGGTATTAGATGGATTGCTAGATCAAGGTAGACTATACATTTTTTGGGGAACAACTAGGTTGGGCATAAACCTTTGGCTGAGATCCTTTGTGGACCATTTACACCTTATTGCTATGAACTCAAGGTTAGGGATGTTGTCCTTCCGGATGGGGAGTGGGACTAGAATAGTGTGGCTTACTTGCTTCCTTTAGGATTAAGGATTGTATTAGAGCCATTCCTCTCCAATATTATTCTTATCAATATGACAATTTCTCTTGTGGACTGTCTTCTAATAGTTTGTTCCAAACCAAGTCTGCATAGTGCATTGTTAAAATATCTCCCCTGAAGCATGGTTCCTAGTCATGGTTGTGGGAAATTAACACTTTTCCAAAAATTCAGCATTTCATATGGTTGGTTAATCATGGGAGACTTCTTACTAGCAAGGCTCTCTATGGTTGGGGTATTGGGGACTTTAGCCTTGGCCCTATTTGCAATACTGTACTTGAAACTCTCGATCATGTTTTCCAAGAATGCTTTTTTACTAGACTTTGGTGGGTAGTTCTTACCCCGTACCCTATAAGCTCCTTATTTCAAAATCTTAGGTTCAAGGATTGGTTGAAAAGCCACTACTACTTGTAATTGGAGTTCAATGGGATTAAGTGGAATACCATGTTCTCCTTTATTATCTAGTCTCTTGTTTTTGAGGTATCAACTGCTTCATCATGGCAAGAGATTTATCGATATTGTGATTTTCCCTATCTTTGACAAAAACAAGGGCCTTTACAAAATATCAACAATTCATAAATTTTGTAATACCAAATGCTCTACACATCATTTTAAAAACAAGTACAAAATCTCAAATTTGAAAGTCAAATTTGAAGAAAAGAATTGAAGAAGATAGAGAAATGGAGAAGCGGCCGCATGATTTTAGGACTTATTTGGTAAATGAGTTGATCTTGATAAAAGAAAAAAAAGTTTGAGTTCAAGAGTATATACATATCCGTGAACTACTTAGGTACTCGTGCTCAATATTAAGCTCTTATTTAATATAAATATCATTTTAGTTAAAAAAAGAAGAAGAATAAGGACACCAACTTTAACTT